GTGTGTGTGTGTGTGTGTGTGTGTGTGTGTGTGTGTTAGCAAATAAAATCAACTGTTCAGATTTTAGTGAGACTTGATTAATTTAGCAAATTAATCAACATTTAGCACAAACAAGTAACTAACGCGGACAATTTTACAAATGTTGACCTCAAACATGGTGTGGCTGTAGCTGAAAGTCATTCCTAAAACATACTTCATGCTCTAACAGGTTCCACAAGGACATTCCTGGTGTTATTTCCAAATACTTATGAATATCTGAATGAAGAGAACGAAAGGGAGGAAAGAGCAGAGGTAAAGGGACCAGGGAAGATGAAGTTCAGGAAGCTTTGAAGAAGAAGGCCGTAGGACCTGACGCTGGTGGAAGTATGGAATGTTTGGAGAGACGACAGTGATATTTTTGACTCAATGTTTCAATGACATTTTGAGAGAGAGAATACCTGAGGGATGGAGGAGATGTGTGGTGGTGCCTGTTTTTAGGAACAAGGGTGAGTTGTTACAACAGGGGGAATTAAGTCCGTGAGCAACTGCGTGGCTGCCGCACATTCTCACGGCAGGTGCAGCGTTGGTTTTAATACATCCCAACGTGGGCGTAGAACCTGGCACACGCAACTTTTTTGTGCGTACGCACCGTTTATACATGAGGCCCCAGATGCCTGTCACAAAGACACAGTTTTCATTTATTTTGTTAAATCAATGAATGGATGACACAGTTTGAGAAGCACAAATCACTATCTTAGCACCGTTGACTTCCAAAGCAGTGGCGGATCTAGGATTTTTCTGAGTAAGGGGCCATGAAGGGGCCAAATATTCAAAGAGGGGCCAAGTATTTGTTCAACATCCTTGCACATAAATCCCCGGTTTTGGTAAGGTGTATAAATTTAAGCAGTCACATATGTTCCAAAAATTTTAACGAAATGTAATGTTATTAAAAAAAGCTTCCTTATCAACTTTAAATGCATTTTTACTGTACATGGATAAAATATTCTCAAAGCATGTGAGAAAATGAAGCCATTGTTTGCCATTTGAAATATATTTTTGGCAAAATTGTTTAAGTCTTTTAAAGAAGACTTTTGTAAGATTGATTCATGCTGGACTTTACTGTTTGACTCATTAGCGTCTCTAGTGTTTGGGCATGGAACTGCAGCCACCACCATTGCTCTCAAGCAAAGGACAGATGAGTGACAGGACAGGGGCACTTCAGGGGGCCAATCAGATTTCAGTAGGGGCCAATGCCCCTGTGGCCCCGCCCCTAGAACCGCCCCTGTTCCAAAGAGTTACGAGTTGAAAACGTAATAAATTGAAGGAGGATGTGTCTGTCTGGTGTGTGCTAGATTTGTTCCATCACCCATCCACTTTCCTCTTTCAATCAGATACTACACACACTCTGAGTTATTATAGTCAGAAGAAATGGATTAAAGAAATAACTGAAAAAGCAGCCAATAATAATAAAAAACATTAAAGAAGTTTACAAAAAAATCTGAATATACTATTGATTCAATTCAGTTTATTTATATAGCGCCAAGTCATAAAAACTGTTGTCTCAGGGCACTGTACATAAAAAAAAAAATTTAAATAAATAAATAAATAAATAATCTAAAGAAGCCAGCAGACTGTGCCGAGTCTCCCATCAGTCTCCCATCCTGAGCAGCACTCCGGAAGCAGTGGAGAGGAAAAACTCCCTATTAACAGGAGGAAACCTCCAGCAGAACCAGGCTCAGGACAGGAGACCATCTGCCTCGACCGGCTGGGTTTGGGACAGGAAAGAGACACAGGCAAACACAGAAGAACTGGTCCAGTGTATTTTCCTCTGGAAGAGAGATGAAAAAACATGTTATTGATAGAAGTAATTATAACAAACGTAGAGGAGAGAGACTAAAGATAATCGAGTGAAGACAAGTGGACAGTTTGTCCTCCAGCAGTCTAAGTCTATAGCAGCAGAAATGAAGAATAAGTAAGGAAACCTAAGTCTAAGATTTATCAAAAAGGAAAGCCTTCAGTCTAATCTTAAAAGTAGACAGAGTGTTAGTCTCATGGACAGAAACTGGAAGTTGGTTCCACAAGAGAGGAGCTTGATAAMTGAAAGCTCTGCCTCCCATTCTACTTTTAGAAACTCGAGGAACCACAAGTAAACCTGCTGTCTGAGAGTGAAGGGCTCCGTTAGGAAAGTAAGGAACAATAAGATGTTTAATATACAAGATGGAGCTTGGTTGTTAAGAGCTAATTCTGTTCTGAATTTGACAGGGAGCCAGTGGAGAGAAGCTAAAACTGGAGAAATATGATCTCCTTCCAACTCTCATTAAAACTCTCGCAGCAGCATTTTGGGTTAACTGAAGACTTCTTTGAGAGTTTTTGGATGCTTAGATAATAAAGAATTACAGTAATCCAGCCTAGACGTGATAAATGCATGAATCAGTTTTTCTGCATCATTTTTGGACAAAATATTTCTAATTTTAGTGAAATTACGCAGGTGGAAGAAGGCGGTCCTGGTAACATTTTTAATGTGGGGGTTAAAAGACATATCCTGATCAAAAATAACACCAAGATTCTTTACATTAGAACTGGAGGCCAGATAAATGCCATCCAGGTGAAATGATGCAAAGTTGATCCCTAAAATGTTCAGGTCCAAAAACCATAACCTCTGTCTTATCTGAGTTTAGAAGCAGAAAGTTAAGAGTCATCCATGTTTTTATGTCAGTAAGACATGCTTGTAGTTTAAATAACTGGTTGGATTAATCAGGTTTCGTGGATAAATATAAGTTATAACTGAGTATCATCAGCATAACAATGGAAATTTATCCCATGCTGTTTAATAATTTTACCTAATGGAAGCATATACAAAGTAAAGAGGATTGGTCCAAGCACTGAACCCTGAGGAACTCCATGACTAACTCTGGTGTAAGAAGAAGATTCATTATTAACATTAACAAACTGAACTCTATCAGTTAAATAAGACTCAAACCATTTTAGAGCTGTTCCTGTAATCCCAATATCAAGTTCAAGTCTACGTAATAAAATATTGTGATCATTTGTATCAAATGCAGCACTGAGATCTAACAGGACAAGAATGGACACAAGTCCACTGTCTGAGGCCATGAGAATATCATTAATAACTTTCACCAGTGCTGTTTCTGTGCTATGATGAGCTCCAAACCCTGAGTGAAACTCCTCATATAGATTGTTTCTATCTAGATGTTCACATAATTGATTTGCAACTATTTTCTCAAGAATTTTTGAGATGAATGGGAGATTAGAAATACGGTAGTTCTGTAGTTGGCCAGAGGTCCTGAATCAAGATCAGCTTTCTCAAGCAAAGGTTTAATTACAGCAACCTTAAAGTTCTGTTGCACATAACTATTCATTAAAGATAAATTAAGTACATCTAAAATATGGATATTGAAGAAGAAAGGCTTCTTGTTGGGATAGGATATAGCAGACATGTTGGTGGTTTGGATGAAGCTATTATAATTCAGAAAGCTCAACAGGACAAAAACTGTCCAGTCATAAATCAGGTCCTAGTGACACTAAAGCTGCCTCATCTGACAGAGAATCAGAGACAGTAGCAGGAAGTTTGGCATGAATTTCATCCCTTATTAAAATTATTTTATCTATAAAGAATCTCATGAAGTCATCACTACTTAGTTATAGGGATACATGGTTCAACAGAGATAGGACTTTTCATTAGTCTAGCTACAGTACTGAACAGAAACCTGGGATTGTTTTATTCTCTTCTATTAAAGATGAATAACATTCAGTTCTAGCTTAACAAAGTCTTTTATGTTAGCAGGTTGTCTCTCTGGGTTAAATAAAATCCTTCAACATTAGTGGTCACTATTGATCAAAATCACTTTCAGAGATCTCAAGAATCTGACTGCTTAGAAGCAAATAATCCCAAAGATCATGGAGTTAAATAAACTTAGAACATTTTCAGCTTCATTTGCTCTCATATTTACTTATCTGCATATTTAGAAACGCATACATACAACTCACACAACTTACTACACTTCAAGCTCTATCCTACAGGGTCCCATATGAATATTTAAATATTTATAAATAAAGCATCAGAACACGCAGCTACAGAGGAAATTAGGCTGATTTTTAGCAGCAGTGCATCTGGAAACAAAAACTTGTCTCTGAAGGTCTTAGTCTTACTTCATAGTAGAAACTATTTTTAAATGATCAGAGAACATTTAATTTAAGAGTATATTTAAAGTTTTGAAGCTGTTTAACCCTTTAACACTTTGGATTCACACCATCTTTACACCTCTATAGTTTATACATTAAAAGTGTTTTGTTATCTTTCACCTTTTCTCATTTTAAAAAAGACCTTTTTCTTTGGGATCCCCTCAGAGTGCTGACTAAACACAAACGCTGACTTTTTTTATACAGTTATTTTACCAGGCAAGTCCCATTGAGATCTCAGATCTCTTTTTCAAGGGCGGCCTGGGCCTGAACCTATTGTACATGTTTTTGGGGACTTCCATGGTATCTGAGCTCAAAATTTCCTCTTCACATCTGGAGGTGAAGACTCTTTAACTCATCACATCTGCAGCATAAAACCACCAGATGCCTCTGCTGCTTAAACTCCAGGTTTCTTTTACACAAAGTCCAGTTTGTGAATAAAGTGAGAACTGCTGATGTACGTCACACCTCCTCCCTCTGTGCAGCATAAATAAGTGGGAATCACCCAGGCAACCTGTGACTCGTCAGATTCTGAGTCATTGAATCATATACCCATTAGCAGATTATTTCCTTGTGTTATCCCATCATGACTGGATGGAAATCCTGTTTCATTTAAACCAGGGGCGCCCAAACTTCTTTACCAAGAGGGTCAAAAAAGGAGGGGTGAAAATTTAACCGAGGTCTGTGGGCCAAATGTAATAATAATACATAAAAAAAACATGAAATACAAATACTTTTTAAGTAGGTCTAACCTCCTTTATATGATTAAGCAACCAGTTCAGTGGGCCATGGTTTGTTTATTTGTGTGTTTGTTTTTAGCCTGTGCACTTGGGGAAAGTTTGATGTATGCTTGTGCAGCAAAGGCTCATGGGACATTTCATAAAATGATCAAATATGAGTATTTGTGGTCTTAAAAAGTGTGAAAATCTATGTGTTTTTAATCTAAATATATTACTTTTATTTCATGTTTAATCTCAACTACAGCCCCTTCTATAGTCACTGGGCCAATATATGGAATGATTAAGTGGAAATGCAGTGTTTCGACCAGATTAACTAGAAAACATGACAACTGATGAGGCCATTCAAATGGCTTGGTGGGTCAGTTTTGGCCCGTGGGCCCCACTTTGGGCACCTCTGATGAATAAAACTTTTATCCCATGCAGAGGTTCTTAACATATGGGCCGCGGCCCAATTGTGGGCCGCGAGCGTCACCTTGAGGGCCTCAAAAGAACAACAGTTTTTACCTTTGGGCCCCAGAGGGCCGCGGGACCGCATTGATTTAAAATAAGTTGCAATACACTTTCTCACCACTAGTAGCGGTAGTGCGCCACTCAGATAGATGTTTGACAACTTTTTAACATGTAGAAGAAGAACCTTAGAAACCTGCCGAGAGTAAAGTAGAAGCAAAAATGAAGGCAACCCATCCTAAAAGACAAAGTTTATCACTAATACGAAGTGTAGCTTCTGGTTTTACCATGCAATTTTTTAAAAGTTAAAAACATTATCAAATACATTTGAAGATACAGGTATAATTTAATTTGCACTTTATCAAATTAATTTTTGTAGTTTATTTTTAAACATTTTGAATGTAGCTGTTTTAAAGAAACTTTAAACTTGTCAAAAAGCTGTTACTGTTATTGTCACTAAT